AGGTGAGAGCTGATTACAAATATACTGTTACTAGCTGCTGAGCATCATGAAGCGAGTTATGGTCTTTTTTAACGTGCACAATTTGCGTGCTCACCGACTTAGTAATGCTACATTCTCGACTTTTAGGTGGTTTTGCAAATCATAATGCTTCCTTTCAACATTGGCAAGCTTAATCTGATGCTATTTCAACATTCCAGCACTTCGTATGAGCAGATTGCCATCTGCAGCGCATGTTACCATATCCGGAAAAATGTCGATTACTCAGAATTGCAAGCTTATAACTCGTTTCAAGTAACGCTCAGCAGCTAGGAACAGCATATTTGGAATCAGTTTTCCAAGCCGACTCTAATACATGTGTCTCATATCAAATGGCGAATCTAATTTAGTATCCTCCCTTTGTTAGAAGCGCAAAGCGATGAAAGGAGTTTTTTTTTTGGAATAAAGGCGCTAGTTACCGCTTTCACTATTTCAGCACCAGTCTTCTCAACTGGATATACAATGATCTTCAGAGGAGTGACTACCGATGTTTGTTCTGTTTGACAATACCAGCATCTTCTGCCATCGAACGAAATAAGCTGTCTTGTTTCGCTAAAAGTGCGCTGGGTGTATCGAATTCCACTACTCGACCTGCGTCCATCACCAGTAGTCTATCACAGTCCATCACCTGAAAGACAACATCATTAGAACGGAACATTAACCTTTTTCAATTCTTTTCCGAATTTTGAAATTGCAAAATTTCTATAAATTGTTTGAATTTTATACAATTGAGAAAGAGGAAACTGCGCATCTTTTATAGCAATATTATCAGAATCATTGCCTACATATCGCGGCCATGCCTGCTCCTAATCGTATTTGCTGAAGACTGTGAAATGTCCCAAGATTTGGTTTTGGTCTAAAATTTGACTTCGTGTCTCATTTTCAACAAAAATGCATACCAATTGTAAGTCCCTACGATTTATTTCGAATGAAGTTATGATTCACGCTTCTATTAAATAAATTTTTTGATTAGATTTGACCGCTAACTAGTTCGCATTTATTAGAAGTCATTCTCTCACAAATTATCCTAAAACGTTCTTCAAAAATTCCTACTCTAATGCCAATCTAACCGTAAGATCGATAACTCCTTCATCTAAGGCGGTGGGAATAATTCACGCGATTTCAGTCGCTACGCGATCTGTAATTTGCTAGATGTCTTCAAATCTGACTGGCTGACCCCAAATGCACGGGATGTATAATTTTCGTAGGTTGATAGAATGTCCTATCTTCCTACGTTTAGAAAACCCCTACTAAGAATTATAAAAAGATGTATTGCCAAATCGCGTCGCTACTGATATCGCGTCGCATGAGGTATCCAAGACCTAAGTTGAAGTCAGGTCTAAAAATGGCACCTGAAGGCCGGCGAAAGACTCCAAGCCAAGAGAGATGCTGATGATCAAGCAGTAGGGACATTTTGGGACATCCTGTATAAGTGGGACAGAAACAGGAAAATGTTGTGTAGAAGTTAAACGAAATGATTAAATCTACTAGGATGTGTAGAAAGGAACCGAACGGAGCCAGATATGCCAGCTATTATAACTTATGAATGATATATACTATATATTGAAAGACTCTTGACTCGAATTTATATCTTTGAATGCAGGACTCGAATCCTGATTAATTTTTACGTCATAGGGGGTTCAAAAGCTGTATTTTTAATTTTCAATTATATGCGCACCAGATTTTTTGTTTGATGCTTCCATTCCTGTTTTTATCGGAAAAGGTACTAGGTTCCGCAGCTTTTGAAGCACTCTCCTTTACTACTTTACGATGTTCATAATTGAGCTTACCGTGTTCAGACGATGAGCTATGGTCAGCACCGTAGAGTCAGCGAACTGTTCGCGAATGGTTCGCTGAAGCAAGGAGTCAGTTTCAGCGTCAACAGCAGCCGCTGCTTCGTCTAACACGAGAATTTTCGGATGGCGAAGCAGAGCACGAGCGAGACACAGCAATTGCCGCTGTCCAACACTAAAATAGAAATGTTCTTCTGCAAGCGAGGCTTAGCACAGATGTAATGGGCTCAGAACAGACTTCAATACATTTCGTGGGGCAAACACCTAGAAGAATATCTCTAAACATGTTTAAAATAGGGGCACCTGTCCTTCAGGCATGCGCACCTGCTCACCATCAAGTGCTACATGACTGACAAGCTCAACGGTGTCGCAATACCTCTTCTCGATTTGATGGTTTCTAGACAATCACCAAACCAATGGGTGTCAGGAACAAATTCCGGAGAATTTACGTAAATTTTGGACTTTCTCCTTGGATTTGAGCGCTTACAAACA